ATATATATATATATATATATATATATATATATATAAGTATTCAAAGACAAATATAAACATAAAGATATATAAATACACAAATATACAAGTAAACAAATATATAAACACATAAATATAAATACATAGATATAAACATAAATATAAATATAAATACATGAATATAAATACACATATATTAATATAAATATAAATACATGAATATAAATACATGAATATAAATATAAATATAAATATAAATATAAATATAAATTAAATATAAATATAAATATAAATATACATATGGGCCATTCCACGCCAAATTGCACAAGTTTACACCTCGACCTCTCAGTTTTTTTTCATTTTTTTTTGCCAACTTGTAGCAGTTGATACCGGATTTCGAAATCGGAAGAGTTTGCCTCAGAAAGTGCGCTGGCCGCAAAGTTAGACCGTTCTAAAGTGCGAAACAAAAACGCAATTTACCCCCGATTTGGCCATCACTTTAACAACTTATACTTTTCTCTGTTCGCAACGGATTTTGCTCATTTTTATTTCATTTGAAAGCGAATTTAGAAAAATGGGGAAACGCTTGAATTAGCAAATTATGTTTTAAAATAGAAACAAAAATTCAAAACGCTTTTTCTCAAAAAGCGACGCTTCAAATTCTTTAAAAAAAGATATATTTTTTGAACAAATAATTTTTGCATAAATTATGAAAATTACAAGGTGGTACCTTTTCGACATTGAAAGTTACGATGCGATTGGTGATAGTAGACTGTAAAAAGCCCTTAATTGAAGCAGCATTTTAGCGCTTTGGAAAGTCTCAGAGCCTCTGTTTCAACCAAAATAATATTTGTGTTTGCAGTATATTTAATTCTTGTAAAACTTTTCAACACTACTGGCCCCGTAACAGATAACTGATTAAAACTTATTTACTTTTAAACAATTGCACAAAATTTTTTTTAGGAAAAATTACTGTTATGACTATTTTTTCTGTTTATATGGCTCTGTTTGTTTGTTAAACCCTTCTAATCCATATATATCACGCTCAGTACTTTTTTCTGACTGCAGATCTTGTTTCGCTAGTTTTCCTCTCAATGCTTTTTAGTATAATGCAATGAAATTTTTTACGCATTTGACTGGCAAATCTACGCGAAAACGTGATGCTGGAAGTGCTCCTTCCCTTTCATATTTTTGTTAGGGTAATAGAATCACTAATATTTCTTCTTTTTAGTTTGGAGCCTATTTGTAAAGGTCATTCTGAGTTAGGATTTCGACTGAAAGTTTCTCTTTCATGCCGACCATCATTGCTGATCTTCTCAATATGCCTTCAAGTTTCAAATTAACGCATTGCTGCAACAACAGAAGAACAACAATACTCGCAATGATTTTACTACTTTTATAAAAATATTAAAGGAAAGGAGCACTTTCAGCATCACGTTTTCGCGTAGATTCGCCAGTCAAATGCGTAAAAAATCTCATTGCATTATACAAGAAAGCGTTAAGAGGAAAACTAGCAAAACAATACTTGCAGTCAAAAAACAGTACCGAGCGTGGTATATAGGTGTTGGAAGGGTTCAATAAGCAGGCAGAGCGATACAAACGGAAAAAATGGTCAAAAGAGTAATTTTTTCTAAAAGAGTTTCGTGAAAATGTTTTAAAGTAAATAAATGTTAACTAACTGTCTATTACGAGAGCAGTAAAGTTGAAAAGTTTTACAAGAATTATATATACTGCAAACACAAATAAAATTTTAGTTGATACAGAGGCTCTGAGACTTGCCAAAGCGCCAAAATGCTGCTTCAATTAAGGGTTTTTTGCAGTCTACTATCACTAATCGCATAGTAAATCTTGAAGCCAAAAAGATACTTCCTTGTAAATTTTACAATTTATGTAAAAATTATTTATTTAAAAAATATATCTTTTTTAAAGAATTGGAACCGTCGCTTTCTGAGAAAAAGCGTTGTGAATTTTTGTTTCTATTTTATTTTAAAACGTAATTTGCTAATTTAAGCATGTCACCATTTTTCTAAATCTGAAGGAGACACGCTTTCAAATGAAGTAAAATGGGCAAAATCCGTTGCGACCTGAGAAAAATATAAGCTGCTAAAGG